TTAATGTAAGTATGAGCAGAGATATGCCAGGTCACGTATACGCTATATCAGAACAGTGATATCCCCAGGCAATAAAATGTTATTGTAGTGATAATTTTATCTTCAAACATTTTTCTTAGTCAGCGAAATATATATAAGATTGTGTTGATAATCTAGAACTTAGATAATTGGGTAAAATATGATAAGAAAAACTTGCTGAATCCTCTAAAAAAATATGTTTTAATTACACTCAACTAACAACACGAAAGTACTAAATAATCCCTACTAATATTATAAATGCGAAAGTAACTCTGTCTGTCTGTCTGTCTGTCTGTCTGCTACGCTTTCACGCCTAAACCACTGAACTGATTTTAATGAAATTCGGTACAGAGATAGAGTTGACCTTGAGAAAGAACATAGGATAGTTTTTATCCCAGACTTTTGAAAGGTTCTCTTGGAAACGCGATATAACCGAACTCCACGCGGCGAAGCTGCGGGCGGAAAGCTAGTTTTAGAATATAAATATGAAAAACACAACTGAAATAACAGTGAATTGACCGGCAGATATATCAAGAAATGTTTTTATAAGGGGTGTCTGCCCCTTTTAAGAGCATTTCCAAAAACCTAAATTGAGTTTACTAAATAATATATTTTTCATAGGGTGGCATTACTTTAGCCATTAGGGGAAAAGTATTTACTAAAAATATGAGTTATAACATAAATTAATAACACTCAAATATTTTAATATAAATAATGTAAATGTTAAAGTAGATATGGAAGAAAAGATATTTTATTGAGGCACATAAAATATATAATCGAAGCAAGTATTTTTTGATATCAGTTAACAGTTCGAATCGTTCTTCCTTGACCCACCAATCGCTCGAACTATCTGATGGTAGTTGGTCTGTTACTAAGGGTTTGTAAAACTGTTATCTAACAAGGGAGGATCACTGGGAAACTGATTTTTATTTCCTTTCGTCGAACGATATCTTATCAAGAGCGTCTGAAGCGGTCATTCTTTACAACTTTATTGTAGAAAGTTATCACGTCGTAAACTAAAAATGGATTTCAACATTTCTTTCTATATGAGATTTTGAAAAAGTAGATTTTAGACAAAAATTATCAATATATGTTTTTAAGTCACAAAATTAAGGTAAAGCTTAAGTTATATAAAATATTATAAGTCAGGATTAAATATTTGACAAATTAAATTCTGTATAATAATACCTTTTCAGTAGTTTAAATCAGAGAAATTTACAATATTTTACTAAATATGTCAAACAATGTTAATAACAGTTAATCATCGTAATATCAGTTATTTTATTTTGTAAATAACTAGTTTAAAAACATATCATCTCACTGAAAATTGAGATAAAATTATGATGCGCGATTTTTTCATTTAATTTCAGTTGGTTTGATAATAGTAGATAACTGCATTGATTTAAATTTGACGCTACCGTTGTTATTTATAATCCATTTTATAAATAATTTTGCGTAACGACAATTATGATTTTACTCCGAATATAGATAGGATTTTTCCCAGAATATTTCATATCAAATATAACAAACAGCATACAAAAGATGAGTTTGAAATACTGACACATGCTCAATTCAATAAGGATATGACTGGCTGGTAGCAATACGGAAAAATCTATACAAAGGAAATCTTTGACAATTCACAATTCGTAAGAGAAATATTGCTTTTAAATTTTAAGTCCACTAAGACGTACGACAAAGGGCAAATCTCAAAGGAACTAATGCTTTGATACAGTGTTTTCTATTATATTCATACATATCCGTTTATGCTGGTCATACAATAAGGAGTGTATTCAATATCCAAGGTTTGTTTTTCATTTCTAATAGTCGAAGTTTCCTTGTCTCTTTATTTTCGTACTTTTTTCTCAAGGTGATACTATTACTTTTTAAATAAATACTCAAGGTAGTCTTTCTGCCTCCCTGGTTCATGTTCTAGAGATTAACATTCTGGCAGTTTGAGTTTTAATTTTTGAATAAATTCAACATAAAAATAATTAATTGTAGCATAAAATTATCACAAAAACAAATAAGGCGGGTTATATCCAGACTCTAAATCAGTTTATTTTAAACTTTATACAAAAGAGCAAAAACTTCTTTCTCCTATAAATTAAATAAGATTTTTATAGCTGAAATATTTTTATTACTTATTTTGACTCATTCAGTACCCGGCTTTGTGTAAAATAATAAAACTAAACGAAACCTCCAGCACTAGCGGTCTTTATTTCACGGACATAAATTTGTATTAAGTTAAAAATTTTGTAACGTAAAAATTAAGTGCATTTATGAAAGAATATAAGAATCGGAGGAAAATATTTTTCACGGATATAACATGAATGAACATCGAAGCTACGTAGAAAGGTTATCAAAAAAACCTATTTAAATTAATTGTTATATTCAGATTTTAAAAAATACAAGAGCTTAGAAAAGACAAAGTTTCGAGAGATAAAGTTTTATAACTTCGAATTTCAGTTTACATTGTTGTTTAAAAAAATAACTGACAGTTTATTTCATTTGAAACATTCGCCTTTGATAAAGAGTAACTGTAAAAGTAGAATAATATTTAAAATACGGTGTTGAAGTTTACGATAAAATTTTAGTAGTTTTATGAGAGTAAAAGTACGTAATATGCTCATGATGCGTCAAAATCATAAACTTCAATTTAACACTAAGTTTTATTCATCACTCACATTGATTTCCTTGGGAAAGAATTATTAAAAATGGGGCCTTATGTAACATCAAATTGTCGCTTCAGCTGGTAAAATTGAGAAACGAGTATTAATAAATTGAAAGTAATGAGGGATTAGAATTGTTACATTGTATATATTGTTACATGATTAGTACCGTAACGTTTTTGGGTTTAAATATATGTACTTCCTTTTTGAATAAAAACAAGAACATAAAAAAGCATTACAATTAAAACAGGTTTTTAGTGATAATGTTTAAATGTACGTCTTGGACGAAATGTAATTTTATGAATAATTTCTATTCTGACGTTCAATTACTTTGGGATCATTTTTAACCGAAAGTCATGATGAAAGTATGTGTAATTATTAGTTTATGTATATTGGAGCCAAATCGGAAATATAATCATATTAAAATTTAATTTTTAAACTAAGATCTTTACTCATGAAACAAGTACAAAACGTAGGTATATCCTAAGAAAAATAGAAGTATATAAAGGCCAAAGATCTTTATTCTGATAATATAATTTGGCGGAGTTTATCTTGCATACCATCGTCCTCTATCGTCTAATATGAGTATCCGTCCCTACATATTTCCTGCTTACGCCATCATATTATGTTATACAACACATATTACATGCCATCCAAAACAGGAGGACCTCAGCACGTTAAGTTTTATAAGCAGAAAGAGCTCCTAGATTCTGGTTGCTAATTTAAGGCGCAGCTTATTTTCTAAGCACAAGTCTTTGTTCGCTAAATTGACAGATTTGCGTAAGGCTTGCTATGAAAGCCCGTAATAAATTTGCTTTTGACAATTTAGTTGATGTTTACGTCGTTCAGAGTCTAATGTCTCAATAAAATACCTTTATAATATAATTGGATATTATGAATATATTTTTAACGAGCAACAGGTTTTAATCGCGTCAGTCCCATCTGCTATTTCTCGTATACTTAAATTTATTACATTCATTTTCATTTTCTTTGTTGATATTGAATCTACTTAACCATCAAATACTCGTGTCAAATTGTATTTCATATAGTCCTAGTAACTCTGTCTAGAATTAGTGTTGTATTAGTTATAGCTAATATTAATGAGAAAATATATCGAAAATTTATCATCTAATAATATTTTTTCTACTAACAAAATATATTTGTTTCACTGTTAACGACTTGAAAAACATTCTAAAATTTATAAAAAAGATATCCGTTACTTGTAAATTGTTATTTATACGCGTTTCTGTATTAGAATAGCTTATGGGATAGATATGTGAATCAAGGAGGAACCGCATCACTCAAACTGTAACCGTAACCGTTTTTTGATGCCTTCGGTTTTAGAGTATAATCATGAAGAAGGTTTATTTCATACTTTCATTGCCGTGCAGACTCAGTTAATTTCAATACACCTTTCATGAATATTTGATGAATAATAACATCACGTTTTCTTACATTTTCATATATAATCGTAAAATAAGATCTTAGAGCTAAATGGTATGGTATGTTCAGCTTTACATATAAGTAAGACTTTATTTTTTATATCATTCTGTTTTTCTTAATATATTGCTGCATCTTTACCAGGCATTAAACGAAATATTATTATTTCTAAAAGACCTTCTTCCAAAGAAGATTACTTTTTTTATTGCCTTCTTAAATTGCCTGTATAATAGTTGTTATGCTCCACAATATCTCACTTTTCTTGTCGTATACTTTAACATAATCTTTAACTACATCAAATCAAGGATTTAAAAATCATCTAGAAAAATACTCTTGTAATTATTATATTTTAATGTCACATAATAATCACAAAATGTATTTCAACAAAAAATATATGAATTTATAGGGATGACCGTACAAATAACTGTTTAAACTATGTTCTAACCTCACATATAGATTCTTCCAAGACAGGTTAAAAATTTATGCAAGCTCAAAATAATTAACTGACTTTGAACAAAATGAACAAATTTTTGTTTAAACAATTGAACACCATCTATTATGATATTAACACGCGTTCGTGTGTCAAACTGTCAACAATAAATTAAAAGTCTTTTATAATATAAAGGAAAAAAGTTACACATTTCTAAAAATGCATATTTAATCTTTCAAATGAAAAATTTACCGTAAAAGGAAATTTATAATCTTTGAGTTAAATTACAGACTAATTCGTATAATCAAAGTGATATGTTATTCAATGATTTCTTTTCCTGTATATAATTATTGAGATATAAAAAAATATGATATACTATCACATACTTTTGTGGTCTACTTAAAACACACTTAAGGAAATTCTAATAAACTCGAAGACTTCAATTAACATAAAAGCTTTTCCTTATCATTAAGGCTTACTGCAAACAGGATGCTTTTAGTATCAGTTAGTGACTTGGCTGGTCGGTCCATTTGTTTAGATACTATGCCTGGATACACAAATGCTAAGCTTAATTAACTGTGTAATTATTAACTGTGATAGTATTTCTATTTTGCATAGCTGGCTATAAAACCGTAATAACTTTTAAACACAAGTGCTATGCCGATATTCAATAATTTTCGTGTCTGAATATTGTCTAACATATATGTATTATATGCGTAAAATATGAATATTTCTCTAAAAGACATGGTAAATTTTGACTTCATTACTGTTTATTCGGCAATTATTGACTTGCATTACATACTGCAATAAAAAAAAATATTGTGCTCGAATTACATCCATGCGGAAGAATTGAAACTTCTTAATGTTAAAAGGGAAACGGGACTGGGTGGAATTTGATTTTAAGGAATATTTGATGTTTCTTTAGGACAAACTTTATTAACATTACTTACAAGTCACAATTGATTGTCCGCAAGCATGTATTATATGTATAATGTATGTATAAATGTAAATGTGTACATTTGAAGAACTCTCAATAACAAAATTATTATTAATTCTGTGGCAGTAAAAAAGTTACCCTAAAATTTTATTGCTTCCTTCCAAAGACATCAATATTATCAAGGTCGGTTTTTCTTGGACATGTTTTTTTTCAGACCTGGTACAGTTTTCTCGTAGTCTCTTGAGTGATACACGTCACAGAATAAATTTTATGACTTTATAACAGAAATTACTTTATTTCATCATATATGGTACATCAATGTGGCAGCGTTAACAGTGTGATGTGCTTTCAAGGAATTCAATTTCATATGGATGAAGTCTCGTTCGCCGATAAAATTAGATTTCCTTCATCATTTTCATAAAATTCTTTGATGTGTTTCTCTTTGGTTTTCTTTGAAATTCATGTATCGGTTCAAGTTGATGAGTGTAAAGACAGTAAATTGCTTAGTAATATTCCCTTACATATCGGAACATTGAATATTATAATAAAGTATTATTAAAATTTAAAAGCGTAATAGCTAGGAAAAATCTGTTTAGTTTTCCTATGAAATGGTCGCATCAACTTAGGAGAGTGCATTCTTAGGTCCATAATAGATTGAGTATACGATCTCTTTTACAGCAAGGACATTAACTTTATATATCTTGTTTTAAAGAAAACATTGTGCATTTCCTTATTATATAATATTTTTCTCTTTTCATGAAATTAAATTACGTACAGCTCTATGTTGAAAGGGCTGAATTAAACTTAAATAAGGATATTGAAATTGCTAATTTAAAACCACAATTTGGAACTGTATAATACTCAGACAACTGCAAATTTTTGAAATAATTTATAATCAATCTATTATTAAATTTCCTTAAGAATATATTTTTACATTATTGTAACAAAATGCATTGCAGACTGATGGTGCAAGTTCCCTTTTAATGAAATTGCTGGTGTATAAAGATGTCTTGATGTTAAAAGTAATTGTGTTTCTTTTTTATAGTTATACTGTAGCTACACCTAAGTAGTAATATTACTTGAACTTCTTTTAAAATATATTTCTGTTATGGGTGGTGTCTACCTAATATTTTGAATAACGACTCAGAAATAAATGTAAAAAATCTGGTTACGTGTTAATGTCAACTATTGTAACTAGCAAATAGTATAGAAAAGATATCATTGTTAGATTTACAAATCTTTTAATTTTTATTTGAGTTTTATAAATAAATTCTAGTTCTTGAATGTAATTTTTGAACAAATAAAAGAATAAGACAATGTTCAAATTATTATTAAAGGAAACATTTATATAAACGATTAATAAATTTTTTATAATATAGGGGGCAACCGAGCAGGCTAGCAATCTGATGGTAGTTGATCACCGCCGCCCATGGACACTCGAGCCAGAAGGCACCAGAGTGCGTTGCCGTTTTTTTTTTTTTTTTTTTTTTTTTTTTTTTTTAATTAATTTAAGTATTTCCTCCAAACAAAGTGTTTTTAAATTAGATTCGAATAAAAACAAACATGAATATTTTGTACATACCTATTTTATTTAAATAAAATCACATTTGGTACATAAACTATTACTTAAAAGTTTATTATTTCTTTTTAGCTGGTAGCACTAAACTCAGAGTGGTAATACCTGAAAGGATAAAAATTAATTGTAGTTCACAGCAGCTCCATAAAAAGTATAACTTTTTAAAATATAATATTTTTGGTAATATAAATAATAATTGAACAAAGTTTCCTTAAAAACCTTATGTCTAAATAAATTAAGATTTGAAATATCATACCTTATTATATATGTAACAATCATTGTACTTTTAAATTCATTATGAACCATACTATCAACATTATTTTTATGCAATAGAGAAAAAATATTTTATTTTTATTAACTTCTAATCTGATGTAGTTAAGAGCAACAACCAAAAATTGGTTGTACTTACACTATAGGTACATTATTTAAAAAAACAATCGTTATAGAATTAAAATGTCAAAGCTCACTTAGAAGTATTACATTACATTATAAATGTACAACTCGATAAAAAAAAACTCTTCCTAATAATCCGAATATCCTATACAGTAGGGAGTAATAACTGAGATTTGTTTTATGAACTTCGTGAATAAGGGAACAGTGTGCAAGGAGGCGAAAACATAAAGCAATGTTCTGTGGAATATTCCAGAATAAACCGCAATAGAAAACTTTTCCGTGTCTTGTTTTCATTGAAAATAAAAAATTTGGTAAAATAAAAGCGCTTACCAAATTACAAAATTTCAATTTATAGACATTAAAGTAAGATTTAGATTAAAATTGCAATTTGTAAATATTTATATTGTATAGACATTGATAAAATGTAAATTTAACAAGGAAACTGGTTTTTAACATGATTGCTATACTTGGATTTAGATGATTCATAAAAAAATATAACAATAGTATCTAATTATAAAAAATGTTAGAAAGAGCGTATTGAAATAATATCATAATACAATCAATGAAAACCTTTCATTTTATCAATTCTAACCCTCAGTTTTGCCGTAATAAAACATTGTTATAATTTGTATTTGACCCCCATTTAAAGTTATGATATTGGATAAATGATAATTGTTCTAATCCTACAAGTATTATATATTAGAAAGTTTTGAATTTGTTTCCCACGCTCGAATGAACTGGATATTTTGGGAAGCATTTGTAGAATTATGTTTATAGAAGTAATATTACATTATCGTTATTTAAGCCCGAAGATTTTGAATACTGCAGATATTAAATCTATGTGTATGTACGTATTAAGTCTAGTGAATAGCGCAAGTTTGCATCGTCATACTAATCCTTTGAGAGTACTAAGGTATTACATTTATAAATCTTAATCGAAAATTTTAATCCGGGATATTTGTGAAAGGAGAACGTTATTACTATCTGTTTCTTATTAACGTGGATATTTAGATTTCGAAATATAATTTTATTTAATATAATTTATATAATTAACTTACATATCATACTTCCAGCCAATGTATAGAAGGGAACGACACAGCCTTTGTCGAGGAGAATAGGAAATAAAATATTACCAACCAAACTTCCAGTACGTCCGCAAGTCATCAGAACGGCTATGGCTAGAGACCTAGAAGTAATCATATATATTACAATAATAGGTACAAAATTTATCGCCACATATCAAAAGTTAGGAAAATCTTAAAAAAATATAAAATTTATTTAGTAAAACTGTTATTTTGAATATTTAGTTTTAAAGATAAATTTATATTTCAATCAAGTAAATAATTTCATTAAGTTCTACTATTTATTTCTCTTTATTTGCATTTTTAAGCCACTGTTGTATCCTTTAAGGTTGACTAGCTTTAGAAAATGATTTAGTCCGCCTTTTATTCATCTCTTGGTTTATAAAGTAAATAAAAAAGGTATTTTCATCTCATCTTCCCGTGACCATGATTATTACAAAATAGTCGAAATGTTGGGAAAAATTTTAAGTAACAAAACAAAAGCACAAGCTGAAAATCATAGTTTTCTTTAAACGCGTACTCGCAAAACAGTTAGATGATAACATATATGTTTCGCTTAAAATTAAACTTTTATTAAAATTTTTATCATTACAACAGAACCGTAGAGAAAACAACAATAAAATTATGTTCATAAATTTGATATAAATTGTATTGTGGTTATAAAAATTCCAACCCTTTTTTTTCAATAAGAAGCCTCTAATATAACATCATAAAATAATTTACTTGACGTTTTTATGTTAAATAAACATACCATCATAAATGTTAATATATTCAAATATCAAAGTTTAATATGACCTCAATAATGTAGTGTTCCATATATCATATGTTTATCAAGCTCTAATTTTATCACACAATTAATCACAGTAATAATCGCTTGGTTCGCCTTTCCCCATAAATAATGGTATCTTGTTTTATGAAATTGAACATCTTGTGGGTAGCAAATTACGTTGTATAATGTACGATATTAGTTTTCTTTGGTGAGCTATTGATTTTAAGGTTGACTCGTGTGAAAATAATATTTAATTTAATTACGTAAAATAAGTTATAATAAATAACAGTCGCTAGGTTTATTGTAGTTGTTGTTGTGTTATTAAATGCATAAATAATAAATGACTGAATCTTTGTTCTTAGTATTAATTAAACTTTAGCTAGAAACCTAACGTTTCAATACTTAAATGAAAGATATCTCCCTGATTGAAGACGAAGTAGTGCATAATAAATCTTTGAGCTGCTAAAAGCAAGCAATGCTACCTTAGTAACTAGAATCTAGGCTAGCTTGATATTAAGTGCACTGGATCTCAGTTTGCCTCATCATCATTAATACTGGACTGCAACAGGCACATTGTGACGTCATAAAATCGTTTGATGACGTCATGAGAATTGTATACCTTATGTGCATTTGATTAGCAAAAGAAATATTACTTTTATATCTTAAAAGATTTTTTGGTTTGATTAGTTTATTTTCTATTTTTAAACATACCCATAAAGTAACTAAAATTCAGTTTTGTGAATATATTAGAGATTTATAATTCGATAGGTGACTTGTTTTCTTTGAAAACATATCAGCTTTTCGGCTAGTAATTATCGATTCCATTAAATGCTACACATACAGCCTTAGTGTATGATTTAAATTGGTAGGTTTGGTGTCAAATTTAATGGGGTATCATTATAATGAGGTCGCTAATCTATTTTAATTAAAAAACTCATCGACTTTCATTGGGTCTTATACCTAGAAGTGCTTAACTTGTTTTAATTACAATTCCTTTATTAACATTCTTTCACACATTTTATTAAAAAAGATAACGCATACAATATATTTTTAAGATTTAATATATTCGTTAAGAAGCTTTTGGTTATTTTATTTCTTAAATAGGTTGAAGGTTATTGTGTTAAAAAATAATAGTAAATTAAAATAAATATATATAAACATGAAACACTCCTTCAAATACAAGAAATTGGGTTGATATAGAAATAGTTAAAAGGTGAAAACAACACCATTAATATAATGATAACAGAACCAACCGTGGAAAACATTTGACGCCTGACACGTATTATCCTAACGACTATTTGATTATTTCTACGAATTGTAACCCATTGTTGTTCTATAACACTTAATTTATTATTTAAAATTGATGTCTGCGTGCCTCGTCATATAAGTTAAATATAGTTCCAACCTTAATTAAGCAACCGATCCTCAAAATTAGAACATATAAATAATTTATATTTATACTTATTTAGATTTGAAAATAACGTACTTTAATTAAAACTTTAAAGGTTTTTGAAAGCTACACTAACATCTCTTAAAAGTAAAACTAACCTCGTTGTAGTTGGAAAGTGCTCTATTACAAGTGCTTGATTTAAGGAATTCATTGTTTGCGCAATAGCAACATCAGTGGAGAATAAAGCAACCATTTCGATCTTAGAGCTCGCCCACCGGAGGCCTAACGTTGCCCCCACGGTAATCAAGCCGCAAACTATGTATAGGTACTTTTTGCCCACTCTGCTCACTAGAATACCGCTAATGATGAATGGTACTACACAAATGGATCCCAGAATTACGCTATTCAAATACGTTTCAGTTCCACTTACAGCCTGGAAAGAATAATGTTCTCATACATATTTATTGTGTGCTAATTAAGTATGTATTGTAAAACTTTTATTTTGATTCAATATTATACGGAAAAGCGCTACTCTAATGAAATTTTTGAAGGGACTTTATTATTTAAATTAAATTTATATATGCTTAATAACAAGATGGTAAAATATACCTCCAACTGTGTAATGAGGTACTTTTAACCTTACACGTTAGCACCAAGAAAAAGCAAAGAATGAATTATAATACTAGATAAATAATTGTCTAGATTACTCACAGGAATACAGACATCACTACTATTTGTAACATTAAATTTCCTCGATCTCAAATCACTCGTATAAGCATCGAGCATTACACATAAGTTTTGGTTTTCTGGAGTGCTGTAGTACTCAGCTATTGTCGATAGTTGTGGAAACCACAAGCGTATAACGTTATATCTGAAATTGAAATAAAATAAAATAATTAATACCAAACGTAAATATAAGCTCAATTTGTGATAATTATAACAAAATAAATTATTTCTATCAGTCATATTGCTTTAAATGGATGTCGTGCATTAAAACGTCACGGTCTATTGCCGTCGCGTGACAAAGATGACTACGAAATTAAGCATTTTAGAAATAAACAACATATCTGCAACAAACTTTACGATTAAATCACGTTATTGGGTGAGATTAAAATTGTATTTATCTAGTATTGTGATTTCCCTGAGATATGTTTAAGCATTTTGGTTTATAATGCACAAAAGGGGTTCTTCGACGTTTGTTTAACCCGTGAGTTTTTCTTTTCTTATATTTGGCGTATACTCTTCCATCCATTCTGACTTTTATTTACTGTTTGGTTTTTAATTTGATTGAATTGTTTAAATGAGTGAAAAACGAGCAATTAATTTCCCACCAGAACTGTATACGACGTTCCACTGTATGCGAAAACATTAAACATTTACTTTAACACCATAATTAAGTTTTTTTTTTTTTGCAAATCTTACAGAAATGTTAAGCATAAAAAAGCAATAAAGATAGGGGTTTTACTCTTCATCTATTATATCCATTGTTAACTGTTAAATCAATTAAATCAAAATGTCAAGTTTGATTCAAATATAAATAATATAATAATTGAAATATGTACGTAAAAAATTAAATCAGAAACATTCTTTGCTTTTTTCCACAAGATAATTTTAATTTATTTTATCTTACTGGTAATTTTCATCTCAAAAATGTTCATCACCATCTAGTTATATAAAAACTAAAAGTTCTAAAGACAATGTAGCAGTCAGTTTGTCAGTTTTTCTAGTAAGTTGGAATAAGATTAAAAAGTTAATAGAAAATGTAATTAAATTAAGCCAGATGACTTCTTAATGTTATAGGATTGGTATTTATGATTCTGCTTAATACAAAATTTCTTTTTCATCCTTTTGTATTTCCTTTTCAATTAGCCTCTATTTGTGGAAATAAAATAGGATTGAATTCTTCCTAATTTTTCTTGAGTGGAGTGTTTCTTATACTTCATGTGTACATTTTATGCCAACATTTTAAGGAAAATAGTTTAAAATATTTCTATTTCCTACATTTTTAAGGGCAAAAAATAACAAAAAATATACATTGTTTTATTTCTATTATATTGACTTCAAGGGATATTTTAAAGGACTATTTTTTTATTAAAAAATCATTTAATCCGTACTAATATATAAGAAATTCTTTTGGTAACTAAAATACATGTACTTATCAAATATGTGAATAGCTTTGAGCTCACTTCCTCTTGGGAATTTTAGGGACGATAAACAAGTCGTGGTTAGAGATTATGTTTCGGAAAGAATATTCCAATGTTTGCGGGAACACATCTTATACATATTTTTTATGTTATGTGCACATAATCATACTATATGCTAGATTTAAGGGACTAAAAATGTAAAGCCTTTGGAAAGAAAATTACTTTCTGAATTTAGATCAAACATAAACAAGTCGATAAAACCAAAGCAATCTTCCAAGAATCAGTAAAAAATTTTGTAAAAAATATATTTTTTTCTCAACTTGATTAAATAATTATACTGGTTTATTTATCTTAAATAACTAAACTCCACTGACAGTGCTTTACATAAGTTAGAAATAAAAATGTAACACCGTAAAACCATTATCTAGTTAATAAAAATTCATCACATGTTACGGGCCAAAATCATAAGCGTATACCCGTTTCATATTCTAGATGGATCGCCCTATATTTGATAATATAAAAAAAATATTCAACATTTTAAATACTCACAAGATCATAGAGAAGAACATCATAAAACAAAAAAGTATAAGATATATGCCCAGCGGTCTTCGAAACATTGGCTTGATATTATGTAGACCAACGGAGAGCATGTTACCAAAATGTTGATTACACAATTCGGGACTCTCATCTATTTGCTTCATCTTATCCTTCCATAGATTTGGATACTATAACAAACATTATATATTAAAATCATATATAAAAATCTCACTTGTGATATGTTTGAATGTATGTAAATTAACGAGACGTATATATCCTTCAAAAGTTAAAAGATTTTTGTAAGAAATAAATATTTGAGTTCATAAAGAGATTGTTATTGTTTTGGATTCGACCTGTTTTTGTGGTTACAACAAACAGAACTCAACCCTAAGGTCGCCGTGGCACCTCGCCACTTATCTACTTATCGTGAAACAAGGGATTTAAGATTATGAAATTAATATGTGCAAAGCTCATGATAAGCCTGCTTTAGAATCTGAAAGACAAAATATGTACATTGACTTCAAAAGGACGTTTAATTGTTTATTAATTTATGTACGTTTTATTGTATACATATATCTAAAAGTCATCATCATGATCGCCGGTAATAACACAAAAAGTACATTACATGCAAAGGTTTAAATCCCTACTAATATTATAAATGCGAAAGTAACTCTGTCTGTCTGTCTGTCTGCTACGCTTTCACGCCTAAACCGCTGAACTGATTTTAATGAAATTCGGTACAGAGATAGAGTTGACCTTGAGAAAGAACATAGGATAGTTTTTATCCCAGACTTTTGAAAGGTTCTCTTGGAAACGCGATATAACCGAACTCCACGCGGCGAAGCTGCGGGCGGAAAGCTAGTTAAATATAATAAGGAAATAATTAGGTATTATAATACTTCTACTCTAAACAAGAACCAACAAAACAATTTTTTATAAATCTCTGTTATAATGTAGCTTACGCTTTATAAAAGAACATGTTTTATACATTTTGTACCATACATTTTAATTTTGTTACACTATAGTAGGAAAAGCTTTAGTACTAAACATATTCCTCGCATATGTATAATATTAAACTTAATAGTCAGTATAAAGAAACAGCATTACCGTAACTGCAAAATATTATTTTTTATCTGTTTCTTTTATTTTATTAGTGTGTTTATACACACCAAACGTCGATTTTTTTGTAGCTAAATTAATTTATTCTACAAAATATATCGAGATCGCAAAAACAGTAAAGAAAACAAACAAAAGTTCTTTCAAATGCATAATTATTTTAAGCATAATTAAAATAGAATTAACATACATACATACATAGATAATATAGGACAAAATAAATGTTTCAAAGTCCTTCATATAACGACCACAAAAATACTTAATCTCATAATTTATTCAACAAAGTTGGGAAAGCTTTGGAACAATCACTCAATGTCATACCTCACAATATTCATAGCTTTCTGTTGCGGATATATTTTTTTAATTTTCTAAATAACATTTGAATCTAAAAGCAATGCTTCGAACTGTTCGACATCAATTTAATTTACGATACGATAAACGATCGAATAACAATTCAACGTACAAATTAAAATTCAATCAAAGTGTCATTTATTTTTGGTGAAATACTAACACGTTTAAATTTCCAAGACTAGGAATTAAATGTATTTTTTTAATCAAAATCGAACAAGAAAGTTTCAACAAATATACTCACCTCAAATTATATCTCTTATATGCATAGTCATGCACAATCTAGCGTGTGTAACCATTTAATACTCTTTCTTTATTGCTGAAATAAGCCATATAAACTAATTAATAACACCTGCACCACATTTCTTGTAAAGTTTTCAAACAAACTTTCCTAATTTCTTCGGTTCAATTACTTCACTTAAGAATTAGTACTTGTCAACTGTCTTTGTTAATTATATTATTTGTAATAAATTCGTGCTATATTAAATTTGAAAATCTTTTTCTACTGTATTAATTTAATTATATCCGTAGTAAATTTAATCTCTTCATAATATTCTAATATAAATTGTATGATATAATAAATATAAGATATTATATTATTTTCAAACGCCCCACACATATCCAAGAACTCTGCCCTGTTAAAAATCATTATAAGTTCCAAGTTTCTTATGAAAGGAGGGCGAATGAAGATTGTCTGCGAAGTATTTTGCGCTGTAATAGTCAGCAGAGCAAACTTTATCATAGTCTGGTGTTGTATAAACTTGGACGTGTGACCGCGTCGAGGGTGGTAAAAAAATATCTTACAACTCTTCCATACTTCCAAAGAAATGTTGAGAATTTTGCTCAGCTGCCGTCAATGTGTCAACCAATGATAGTCTAAGCTAAAGGTCCTAAGAATGTTTTGCCTAATCTCTCCAGGAGTGACACACGAGCATATGATATGAAAAATAAAAAAAACAGCTAAGTATAAATGTAATTTCGTAATAGAATTTAATATAACATAATAAATGATGTAAAAAGTAATCTACTTTTCGGGAAACTAACAAAACTAATGTACTTAATTTTTATTACCCATACTCAATAGTCAGGTAGACAAACAATAGGACGGTAAATTTTATATATTGGAAGATGGTATCGGATGCCATGACGCCATCGCCATAAATATTATCACCCAATGGCAGACATATTCGAAGAATTTATAGGGATATACAATATTCCAGGGTTATCTGCTTATGGTGAAATTTAGGCGATTTATGCCAGCATATGGCGGTTTATCGACTTTAACGAATCACGTTTGTATTAACGTATCAGGACAGAATGAATTTCCGGTTTGATTTTCGAATGAAATATGTTAATGAAAACGTACTCTGGAAAATTCAATTAAAAAGAAAAACATTGTTATTGACTCTTAAAATTAAATACTTTGATTCTTTTGGACTGGTGAGTTAAAAAATATACAGCTGTCCGTATCCAAATAACACAAAGAGATTTACTTATTTCTTTTAGGTTTGTTAAAATAATGACTTGAAATAATTCTAGAAGTTAGTTCAATGCTAAATTGATCTTATTCAAGACTTAAATATAAACATGAGAACATAATTTTCGCTATTCACTTTTTATGTCTGCACTTACTGTCCATTTCAATTGTATACAATAACATAAGTGGCACTAAAACTTTACGTTAAATAGTATTTCGTGAATTGATATAGACAAAGATTATATATTAATTATTATGAAAATATCAGTCTTTAGAGAACGAGTTCTAAGTGTTAAGGGGAACTATTAGTTTGTTGTCGAAAGGAGACTCAAATAATATTTACCGTCGTTTGTATTTAATGAATAATATTGATACAAATCTAAACCACATACATAATGCTACAATAATAAGTACCTCTGTAAGACTAACAAGTGATAAAACATAATCATCAGCTGAGTATATTCTGGTTCAATAAATAATGTTCACACTTCATTACGCATAAAAATATAAAGCTTCATGACATTTTATTGTCCTTTTGAATAAAAACCTCATCTGAACTAATCACTGGACTATCGACATTAAGCTATTCGCCAACATTCTCATGGATTTAAAAGATCAAAGCAACCGAGCACAATAGTCCACGTTCTCAATTACATTGCACAACAGGCGCGACTGAGCCTCCACAATATTAAAACATTTTATATGAATAAATTTACGCCCTTAAAACATGAGGGTATTCGTAAAAAAAGACAAAAAAAAACAAAAGAGTGACGTCACAGTCGTGTGTAAACTTTCTGACTAATATTTACGCACATTGTAAATAGCTTCCATTCTTTGCTTTTGGCATTCAAAGCCGTCTGACAACGCTACATAAATAAAAAGAGATTAACAATTTATGCGTGCTCGTTACAAACGATCCCATTGAATTATGAATACGTAACATTGTACGGAACAGATTTATCGAAACATTTTATATGTACATCTTACGTAACGTATTGTCATTCTGTTGTTTACGTAATTAGAGAACGCCATTAGAGCGTTTATGTATAAGCTTCTATATAGAAACTTCTAAGGAATCCACATCCATATAATATCCACCATATATTTTTGTATGGATATTCTATGCTATAAAATTTCATCATATTGAAAAACCGAACCAACATTAAGGTGGACTGATATATTATATATACGACAATAAGCCGCAATTTGTAGCAGCAAACATGCTTCAAAGGTATATTAATTATTACAATAAACTCACTGCCTTTTTGGTACACACTCAAAAAACGAACTCTTAATATTTACTTCTGAATTAGTATTCAAATAATTTTAAACCAAAACATATTCCCTTTCTAAGGGTTAGACTAAAAATATACATTTTATTTTGGAAACGTCAATAAAATATTAATATATGTATTAAAACAAACAACCACTTCTAACAAGAGCGATAAGAATGAATCATTAGAAGTTAATAAAGTTTAATATGTAATCCATTACGGGTCGGTGTGATGGGCAATTGATTGCTTCCTTTCACGCAACGCCCGTCGCTTAATTAAATAAAATTAAAAGTAAACAGAATTATCGCTAGCGTTGTGAAGGGCAAGTTTGATTTGAAATATGATATAAATGATTCATCAGATATATGATACTAAACAAATTCAAAAACAGTTTTGAGATCGAATATTTTAAAGTAAATTAATAGATATTTAAAACCAATGTAAGAACATAGGATGTGTAAAATGATTATAACGCAAAGGACCCTAAATGGTTCATAAAATGTTATTATGAGGTTTCGTGTACATATATCCCTACTAATATTATAAATGCGAAAGTAACTCTGTCTGTCTGTCTGTCTGTCTGTCTGTCTGTCTGTCTGTTACTCTTTCACGCCTAAACCACTGAACTGATTTTAATGAAATTTGGTACTGAGATAGAGTTGACCTTGAGAAAGAACATAGGATAGTTTTTATCCCAGACTTTTGAAACGTTCTCTTGGAAACGCGATATAACCGAACTCCACGCGGGCGAAGCTGCGGGCGGAAAGCTAGTCGTTTAATAAATCCTTAGTTTTCTTCTTTACGTACATTACACCCTCTCCTAAATAGAAAAGAACCCCACAAAGAGAATTTTTACCTAATTATAATTCCATGTATCTTATCAACATAAAAGTTATGCACGCATGCATTTGGAATAAGTAATTAATGCTTATAAGTTGCTTGACTGGCTTCAACTGTTTTATAAGGCCATAAATTATGCGTTGTATGGTTTTTCTTTTTTTTGAGGCTAGCAGTTTTCATTGTTTAAAGTCAAATATGAAGTCTTAAGGAGTGAAAAATTATGAAAATAAAAAAAACCTTTTACAGATAACTTTCTATACATATTTTTATAATATCCAAATATATCAGTAAAAAAGATTTCTTTATCGGCAACATTACGCCTTTTAATTAATGGTGAATATACGATAAAGGTCTACTTGAGTAAAAATTAAATTAAATACTTCATTAATTTAAATTTATGCCTAAAAAGGGTTCACTTAAAAATAGCGAAGTAAAATTTATAGCGGAAAATGCTGTAAGTGATAAATTCAAACTTACCTTCACGTTTCATTTATTAAACGAAGAATAATTATTACAACCGAATGCTGTTTTTGTTCTTTTATTCTAAACTACATAATAAATAAATGAAAAAGTAATAACCAAAGAAATTAATTCAATATGTGGGACATAAAACTTTTACAGCGATGCAAGTTTTCCTATGACCAAATTCACCATAGTTTAGCAGTTTGCGTTAAATATTATTATATTTCAAGACTTTTATTTTATAAAAAAGTTGGATTCTTTCCAATTGTACCAATATTACATAATTGATTCCTAGACAATTTAAATTATATATATTTTTCTAGAAACTAGCAATGACAATTATAAGACTTTTCATTGTTAATAGAGACAACTAGCTTTTTAGAAAATAGTCTTTGAATTTATTTATTTCTTTATGAATAGAGGCATGTATATAAAAATAACAAAAAAAAATCTAGCAATGAGTGTCGTTTTATCAGTAAATTCTATACTGTAGATAGAAAATAGAAAATATCAGAAATAATAACTGAAAACTGTAAGGACAGCGAATTTTTAATGAAAGTTTGTTATTTTGCTTATAAAAACATCTTAGAATAAGTTAAAACAAACTCTTACCGGAAAGCTATCTGCAGTTTTCCCTGTATTCCGCGTGTAAATGTTAATGAGGATTTTTCTCGCTTCGTCGTATCTTTTTTGAGTTATGAAGTACTTAGGACTTTCAGGCAGCAACATGTATAGACAACTGGCTAGCAGCGACCACATTGACATTATTATTAAATAAAAATTCCAAGTGTTAAGTACTGAAAAGTAAAATAAAAAAAACATTATAAATATGCCTTTAAAGTATATGTCTATAAAATTGTTACAAATATTTGTCCTCTTACGTCTTCAAAATAACTTATAAAATATAGTACAAATTAAATAAAAATTGACTATTGTTTATTTACTTTTTGTTCAATAAGGTTTTTCTTTAACTTTGTGAATAAAAAATGTTAGCAATGGGGAATATTTTTTTACCTTTTAATACTTGTATATAAAGAAAATTAAAAATGTAAATGTGAACGTTTTTAACATTTACATTAAATTATTTTTAATTAAAATTAAATTTCTCTAAAAATTTGGGTAACACATTTGAAAGGCTTTACACTTTTACTAGTTGTCTTAAATATTCTGCGACGACTATGTAAATGGAGCGAATTCGTGGGTACATTTTATAGTTTCTGCTTAAAGCTAAATTCATTTGCATTTATTTTGAACTGGGTAACTTGATAGCACACACGTATGTGAATACAAATTTTTAAACATGGGTTGGAAATTTTTAAAATAATTTTCACTTTCCCTCTGACCTAAGCATTCAGTTATATGATACGCTTTTTTATGATACCACATTGTTCAATTTTTACTCAATAATTGTAGTTTAATCTAAACACATCGCGATCTTTTCGACTTTATATCTTAGCGGGTTATACTGAAAAAACTAAATGGACCCTGATAATGAGATCTAAGATGTTCGCGAGTATCTACTCATTTAGATGAAACTAATATTTTCGGACTTACTACATACATGTTTTTTTATTTTAGTCTATAAACTACATACTCCCTACGTTTCGGTTACTTTACAGCAATCGTGATCACTGGCAGAAGAGATGTGAGTGTCTGACAGTTGGTCTTGTTATTTTATCACCTACCGCCATCGATTTTTTAATCTTCGAAAATATTACTTTCATCTAAATAGACCCTGGTATATAATGTCAAATATATTTTTACCAATAGCCCCGTTGAAATATGAATCTTTCCATTTCTGTGTTAAAATTGCCCACGACATTAAAGCTGCAATCACTTGACCAAACCCTGCGAAAGATGACTGTAATAACATCATACGATCTCTTATGCCATTGTGACAGAATTCCGATGTTAAGGTGACCACTGCATTGAAAGATGCTGCAAATCTGAAAATATTATCCGATAAATAAAAATTGTTTGCTTCTTCCCAACAATATATTTCCTTATCAATTCAGACTGTAAACAAGTATATACGTCCATTAATGAGATTAATGTACATTACACATATTTTAAAATGTTCATTGATTTATTTATAGTGGCTATAAACATTTTTCCACCACTTTTAAACCATTTTAATATAAATTCATTATGGAAATATGGTAAACAGTAAATTTTATACACATTTCATTTTGTGATGTGAAACATCATACCGACGTCATATATAAAAAATAATATTTTATCATTAAAATATGGATTAAACTAAAAATTAAAGCTATTTTTTTATTAACATTGAAATTTATAAATAATACGAACTTTATCCTGAAGCAAAAGTTAATTCCACAGTGGTCAAACTTAAAGTCTACAACAGGCATTGTTCCAAAGTCTAAAGAGAACTTAAGAATAGAACATATAAAATCAGATAAAGGATAAATTACTGCTTAGAATAAATAACTTTAATTAAATATAAATACTTACAACATGCCTTCAAACAACTTTGCTGTTACTAATACAAGATACGTTTGACTTATACCCCCTATAAAAGTAAATACAAATAGTCCCCCGTATCCCCCAACTAAAAATATTTTTCGACCAAAGGTGTCAGTTAAAAAACCAGCAACTACACATACTGAAACCATTCCTGAAAGATAATACACGTTAAATTAATGTAAATTATATATTATCAAACCTTAGCATGTGATATTAAGTAAATAATACAGTACATGTAGCGTACAATACAATAATATATTATATATTTGTAGTATATAATATAGAGTACCGTATGTTAATATAAGCATCACAGTAAATATTCAGTAGAGTAAATTAATTTAAACAGTATACTTGCAGCAATGCGAGCGTGGTTAATGAATAAATCTCACCGACAAAAGGCATCGCATTCAGCACTCCTTTCTGCAAGAGATTCATATCGAGGTCACATTCAGCAATTGGCAATATATAAGGCGTGCTATTTGTCACCATGATACCGGCCACAAAGCCGACAAAGGATGTAAACATGAGTTGGATGTGAAATAAACCAAAACCACACGCTTTGAGTGCGAGGTTTACCTCCTGCATTGCGGTCGGCGCCTTTGTCTCCACATTTCCTATAACATTATAAAACACGAAATTGTAACGAATCGGAAAAGTTTGATATCAATATTTGCAATAAACCCACACCTCGGAAAATATGAAATTCCTGCATTGCGGACGCTCTTGCGGCTTAAATTACTTGAAAGAATTACAAAGAGGCGTATAAGATTCGCACGGTATTCTGACATATAAATTTAAATAAAATATTGATAATAATATAAAATTGTAAAAATATTGACCTAAAACAAATGTCCGCTATCTGTTTTGAGATCAACAAAACATCTTCATCAAAATGTAGATATTAAAAAATACATCTAACTAGAGAAGTACTCAAACTTATTCCAAGTCAAGACAAGATGTGAAAAGTTTTGTGTCTCTTGGGAACATATTTTTAAATTGCTGCGCTTCTGTAGAAGTGAGGTTTTGATAGGGACGAGATTGTATGCCATGAAAACTTTAACGCACAAAATTATATAAGGAATATACAATTACATGATACGAATATAAAACTCCGATTTTAAGGTTTTAAAAGCTATTTCTTATAATTTTATGACATTTATTAATTAAAGCTAAAATTTAAGGGTTTCATCTGAAAATAAATATCTTAAACTAATTGGCAATACCGATCTCTGCGAAAAGTTTTAGTTTAAACCACAAATTTAAATCGTGGTTGTTCGGTTTTTCATTTTAAGTGAAATTGTTAAGGGTTCTCGCTGTTTTCAAAGCCATTGAAGAGCTACTAGTGAAGCATGAAGCATCATTCATAAGTTTATATAGTGTAGGAAAATGTTGTAATTTAACATTCATTTTAACGAAGTTAGAATTACGGTGTGTGTATAAAATTATGACATTATATTTATTTCACCTAGGTTAATATTATAGTAATATTTGCATGATTCTATAAGATGAGGTTTCAATTATATGTTTAGTATTTTAAAACATATATTTTTTTATAAAAAAAAAAAATAACAACAGTATTTTTAATCATATTTTAAAGTCATCGTTTGTATCAAAGTAAAATATGACGTCCTATCTATATAATCCGAAAATAAAAATTATCAATTGAATTCAGTTAATTTCATTTTCATTGATTTATTTATGAATGAATCAATATTAATAAAATTTTTCATCCCATTTATCGAACGGTCTTCGTCATACAAAGCCAATGCTTTGTAAATCTGTATATTGATTGGAAAATATTAAAAATGCAATTCTATTCAAAGAATATCAAACTCAAAGTAACAGACCGTGTAATGTCAATTTTCGGAATATTTTCTAGGAAAACTAACAATAGCCGTGACGAATTGAAAACAGCATAATTAATTAAACAAACTTGCCTTAGTTGAATACTTCTTATGATTAAACACTTGAACCTCTTATATATTATTCAATAGTGCCATAACACAACAACAGAACTGTTACGATGTTGTATTGCTTGGTAAAATTATGAAACATTTATTAACTCGGTTCGAGACCAGAACAATTATCATTTTATAATAAAGGTTATATATATTTTGATTTTTTTGTCACATGTGTTGTATCTAATATGGAAATTTAAAAAAAAATATGACCGCCACCGCCTCATAGCCTCAAATAATAAACATATGAATATGTTTGTTTTAAATTTTTATATGCAAAAAAAATATGATATTTAATGACTTCTGATTGAAAAAGAACCATCTATAATCTAATTTTAATGAACTACGTAACTATAGTTCGAATAAACGACCCTGCTACTATTATTTTACTTAAATTTATTAATTATTATTTTATTTAAAACAGGTTATCTAAAAAAGAAGGTTCATAAAAAGAATAAACAGCGTAAAGTTATATGATGATTTAGATGATATAATTTTAAGGAACCTTATTTTAGAAGACATTTTAGAAACTTCAAAACTTATAAATCATATATGAAAATGTGACGTAAGAATATGACAGAAGCTCTTAAAAAACATGGATTAATTATTATTGATCAAGGCCTAGGTAGTAATTAAAAAAATACGATATTGATTTTCCCAGATATAATGGAACGACTGAACACACAATGGCGTACAGAAAGAATACCGCCTCAATTTCATCGGACTGTGAACACTTTGATAGAAACGTTAATCAAACCAGATCGTTTGCAAAGAGATCTGTTCTTTGCCCTATTGCTTATTTTAATGAAGGAAAGCGATTTCGTTCTCCAAAAAGGGAATAAAGATGACACAGACATACTCGATCATATAGTGCATTTGAGAGATAAAGAAAATGGAAGTCACGAAGCTGAGTTCGTATTACGAAAATTTACATCAACGCCTATTAAATTCATCGCTACAGCTATATCGGACTTGATACTTGTTAATGTAATGGTACCAGAAATAAATTACTTTACGCAGTCACTTTGTTTATTAAGAAACAAATATATACCTCTTAACATTTTTGGCTTGCCAGAAAAATTTTCATGTATGGATGAATTTTCTACGTTGTTTAAAGACGGTATAGTAACACCAGTGAAAAGTGCAATACTCTCCTATTATAATTACTCAAGTGCTAGCCTAATTGGGCTCCCATCAAAATTGGTTTACGATATTTTAATAGAACTGCCTATACGTGATATAGTAAAAATATCAGAAACGTATAAAAAAATGCATAATATTGTGAACAGACAATTTTTCTGGTATAATTTAACGAAAAGAGATTTCTCTTTACCCCAAAACTTTGATGGTAGTTGGCAAGTACTATATATTAATACATATTTATCGCAAAGAATTAAAGTTCCAGCTAGAGTTACAAAAAAAAATGAATGTACTGCCGACTGTTGAATTTCGTGATTGCAAACCTAGACTTGAAGTTATTTTATAATTTATGTGCAAATTTTATATATAAAACTAGATATATATGTTTAATAAAGGCTCGTATCCTTTTTGTTGCTTCCATACCTGTCATATCAAAACAATTATTAGAAAACCTAACATTAAAAGTAAGAAAGAATATTGTTAGAAAAGGCAAAAAGCCGAGACGAATAAAAATTCTAAGTTGACAGATTAAATTAAAGTTACAACTTAAAACTGAGATGATTTAGGACAGAGAGCTTCAAGAAGTTTTTGGCAACACATAAGAAAACCTAAGTCTAGACTAATTTTACCATCAAAATTTGTAACAATTTTAAAATAAATTTTAACAATATTTTTATAATCCTGAGTAACATTCATCATATATTTAAGGTTATTGCACTTTGCTTTTATCAATAAACACTACTACAATTGCTGAAACTAATGTAAATTAATATAAATTAAATGGTCATTTATATTCAAATGAATCCGCAGCAATGCACACTTCCGATAGTCAAATTTACAGAGCATAGAAATAATTAAATTGCTCTTATTAAGTTTTAATAAACCTAGTTCATTTATTTCATTTTAGATATGACTCACGGAAACCTATTATTCTTGTTCAAACACCAATTTATGAAATGAATGTAAAATAGTCGTATAAATTCATCAGTGTTTTGATACGATTCAATTGTCCATTTCATACATAGAATTGATAAACTTAATTGTTAGTATTGTTAAGCGTTCATTTAATTGTAACATTGTTAATCCTATAAAAGGCAATTTTAAAAGTTATTGGACTATAATAATGGATACGTATGACAAACAGTATAAAAACTAAGACTAGACAAATTTCTGTATTCACATATTTTCAAGCGCTTTGTGCTAATGGAGCTTCACGATTTCTTGGATACTAACATCCTCAAGGACCGTATCATCAAGATTATTAAGTATTACGAGTTCCCTAACGAGCTCACTAAGAATATGTTTTAAATTTGTAAGCGAGAGAAGTGGAACTAAAAGGTATAGCAGCTAAATCTCTCTACAACCTACTAAAAGACTTGTTTCTAACCAGAACTAACATGAATTCATTCTTAGATGGTATTCCAAAGGCAGCCCTAGTAGGTTCATTTCAACTTTGGTTAGGTAAAGAGAGGAGCTTGTACGGTGGAGGTGAGCGTTTAACTAGCGCGTTAGTCAAGGTCCCTAAAATCTACACGTGGGTCTCAGGTCCCAGACATTGTAAAAGTTCCTCTCCCTGCAACATTTAGGTTTTAGTTTCATACCGTTTTAAATCATGTCTGTACTTAGCAAGCAAATAAAACAAATAGACAAGCAGTTTCTAAAATTCTATAATTAATTTAATAGACAATTTGTCATAATAATAAAATTGTGTTCAAAAATAAAATAATACATTAAATAAGAAAGTATTTGATTTCAATGAATATTTTAGTAATATAATTTAATTCACTAATTAATATGGTTGCAAATAGAACTGGCATTAAACTCATTTTCTTCAATTTTCACTGGCTGCTAATTAGTTATCGCCGACTGCTATTTTTTTAATCTTTTTTTTTCAAATCATTTTCATACTTTAAGACGGCGCGCTACTCATTATGAACACAATACTAGCATTGACCAAACCTTTTGGTTCTTAATACATAAATAATTAAATGGCACTTGTATCTAAAAAAGATGGTGTGAAAATATAAATATTTAAGAATACTGAAAATGTGTAATGTATTATAATAAAATTCTCATCAATTAATATTGAAATTCTCAGAAGTCACACGACAGCATTTTTTATATTCAATGCGTAAAATAAAAAGCAATTGATAACAACTTTACAGAAACGAAAACAATTATGAAAAACATAAGAAACAACTCAACTTAAAAACAAAATTGATAATACATATTATAGACTATATTTGTTTTCATTGAAACGAACAAAAAAAAAGCAAATTCTATTTGTGTATTAATCAAAGTTCAATTGGGATTCAATTTTCGGAACGTAGGCTCACCTTTCAATCGACAGATATGTACATTTAAAATATTGAGGACTGCCTCTTCAACACGACTGTTTTATTGTTTTACAAATTCTATCAATATTAATACGATATAATGTAATTTGTTAATACATCGTTTTTCTAAATTCATAATGATTTTTTTTAATATTTAGTAGGAAAATGTGACTTAAAAGATATTAAAGTAAAAACTTTGTACCCAAGGACCTTATATTTTGTTACTACCTTTTTTGTTATTATAGTTTTTTCTTACTTTTTGATGTTTCTTTTAGATAACCTGTTGGTATATTAAGAGAGGTTTACTGACAAACATGAAATATTTACCTGAAACAAATATTAAATATGTAAACGTATGTCCCTTTAAACCCCAAAAGGGCGATATTCTATATAAAGTTAATAAAATATAATCCACATTTTCCTTATACAACATCTATGTTTCTATTTTGTTGTGTTAAGACCGTTGTATGTAGGATTTTCTAAGAAATATATCTTGTTAATGCAGTGACAATTATAACTCAGTCAATACTAAAAGCAAAAATATTGTTTAAATTAAAATAATGATGTTTTAAATTTATTTAAGTAGTTCAAAAATACTATTTATTGTTAAAACGTATTCTGAAAATTCAAGTTTTATTATGGAATATTATAAGTATTATTAACAGAATTGAAATTTGTTTCCAGTAACCTATCAGAGAATAATATACAAATAATTGTTTTTGAAATAACTGTAAATAATGGAATCATATTCAAAATTTCTTCCACTTTTCTTATATTCATAATTTTCAAATAGGTACTAATCTTACATTGAATCTAATTATTGTTCGCTTTGGATCGATATTGTTTCGAAGCCTGGTGCTTATATCTGTGACATAGATTTAAACTTCTATACGAACTGTTTATTTGCAAATGTTAATTCGCATTTTTTTTTCGTATGTTTAAGATTTAATCGGTCATTATTTTTGTTTGAAATGTGTCACTATACTCCTGAAAACATGAGAATTACGATATATCTGAATTAAAATTATGTTAGTGGCAAAATTAAGGCAACGCATACTCAAACATTACTAACTCATGCCAAATAATACTAGTTTAATTAAACACAGAAATTAAACCAAATAAACCCAAATAAACACTATTCGCTACTCTCTGTGGGTATATCAGACATGCAATTGATCGGCTTACATTAAGCAAACTATTTATATATATATAAGTAATATTAATCATTTATTTTTTTATTACATATATATACATACTAAAAATGCAAAAGTACGAAGAGACGTATTGAGACATGCAGACAGACAGACAAATACATACTAAGATGTAACACTAAGATAATTTTCTTTCAACATACAGTATAAGCGTTATCAAAATTTAAACTTTATATAACAATACATATGTCATGGAAAATATTTGTAGAGTATTAGAGTGGTAATTTACAAGAATTAAGAAACACAATATTTAATTAATTTAAAAATCTTGTTAAAAATACTCGGTCTGTTGGATAAATCATTATAAAACAAAACAAAGTCGACACGCGTAAATTGTTCATTGTTTGACCTTGCCCTGAAAATACCTCAGACATTTGTAAAAGAATTTGAGAAATGTTTTATATCGTAAATAACACAGAATTAATTCTATTGGGACGAATCTTTATACATGGGTTAAAATTTCACCATTTTATAAGATAAATATTACATATCACGCTTTAAATTAAGATTTGGACCCAATTATATTAATGTCCAACTGTCAGCTATTTTTATAATAACAAATAAATGAGCCCATAATCTACTTATACATACAAATACATATATAGAGAACAATATAATTTTCACAATAATGCCTATCGGTCGAACAAAAGAAAACGATTCCTCTAACACAATTATTGTATTGTTAGAGTCAATAACATTGAAGGCTGAAATGTTATTTGAGTATTATATAAAGTAATTAAATCTTTGCTTTTGTGAAACTTTCAATAATTTTCATAAAACTTTGTAATGAATCGAATGTAAACTTTTGTGATATTGTAGGCGTTTGTTATGAGTTTTCACATAAATGTGTTAATTTAATACTTACTAATTAATGAATCAGGAATATGAATAGAACAATTTCTTTTACGTCATTGTTTAATTAGTTATGTGAAACTTTTTAATGATTCATTTTTACTTTTATCTTTGTCACTAACTACCATGTGATAGTTGTTTGATAAGTCACGTTACACGCTACCTGTTTAAACACATTAAGATAACAATCATCTCAAGCATTAACTTTATGAATGATAACATCTGTTGCAAAGATAAGATCTGCGTATATTACGCGACTCTTGGCTCAGATGATACAATAGTGTGCAATATATAATTCAAGATACCATTTGAGGATTTTTGTATTTTTCCACTTCATTTTAACTATCAAACTGAACGTTCATAAAATTGAGCAAAATTGACTTGTACTTTGTTCGTTAAAAATATCTATTTGTTATAGCATATTTAAGAGAAAAATTTATGTTCTTCATGTCATACCTATTGATTATATCCGCAATCTACATAACAGAATAAAATTTGACGAAAATAAATTTTAAAATCAAAAAGCTAAATGACTATGATGATTTCAATACTCGTTTGGTCTACGTCACTCGAAAAAATCATCTATTTGATTTAAGCCATCATGTAAATAATAAAATATAATAAGTAACAGATAGAAATAGAAATGCCGAGAAAAATCTTTTTACATATAACGAAGAATAACAATGCAAATTTGTATCCGATTTGCAGAAATAACTTTAACTTTTTAGATATCCATTGGATATTTTAATGCTAGTACAAGAAAAATAGATTTTCAGCGGACTAAAACGAACGAGGTTGATTCTAATTTATTGAAATGTATATTTACTATAATTCTCTTTATATAAACAGCGCAAAGCTTTGACTGAATTACTTAGATATTAATATATGCCCAGTGCAAACTAGAACTCGGTAGACGTAGTTTACTATTTGATTAACATGTTAAATTGGATACAACAGTAATCTATAATAAATGAAAACTATATTCTGCCTACCTTATGTCATGACAAGTTTTGGTACGGCTATCACACAATTTTTTTAACTATCCTTTATAGAGGCAAAGATTATTTTTTTTTTGTATAAATTTGGTACTATAAAGTCTGTTTAATATTTTTTCATTTAAGTAAACGAATGTCTGTGTGGTCAAATATATGTGATTCTTGGTCGTTAAAATTCTTTATCTCGGTGTTTAATTTATATTATTTTAAAACTATTGACACGTCAAATCATAACAAAAGTTATTGAAAACATTTAAGATTGTAAGATGATTTAAAATATAATAATAAAGATCAAATAATATCCAAATAATATAAAAGGAAAAATAATATGTATATAAGCATATGTATATAGCAGACCCTGGCTAAAGCTGGGAAATTGCCAGGAAGAAGAAGATGTTTATAAAGGGTGTCCCAACTAGAACGCAATTTTTAAATTTTAAATAAAACACAGATATTAAAAAAATATATCGTGAAACTTTATTATATCGTAAAGTAGATAGAATGAGGTTATGTATGGAACAAGATATCGTGCAGATGGCCGTCGCGGCTTTGCAGGCACACGCGCGAACTTTGAATGAAATTTTCTAGGACCGTTTTGCATAAATACTGCGGTATTTCATAAATACAGCGTCCAATTTCCTCTTTTAAGGCTTGAGTCGTCGTCGGCTTATACGCGTAAATCATCGACTTCAAAAAACCCCAAAGAAAATAATCTAAAGGTGTTAAATCGCACGATCTCGGCGGCCTATTCTGGTCTCCAAAACGCGAAATAACACGACCGGGAAATGACTGATGCAGCAATTGAATTGTTTCTCTGGCTGTATGACGCCGACTTGTTGAAACCACATGCAGTCCATATTCATTTCTTCGATTCTAGGCAAGAAAAAACTGGTAATCATTTCACGATATCGAACACCATTGACTGTTTGCGTAGTTGTTGTCTTTACATCACTAACAGACCAAGTTTCGGCAAATTTATTCATTAATCTCTTTACAGTTGACTCTTTTTGAGTGACTCCAAAATGATCGTAATTTGCGAACTGTAGCCGCAAAACTTTCACCATTTTGGTAAAACAATTTTACAATGAGAATGCGTTGTTCATTCGTGTAGCGCTCCATTTTTACAAACCTTGTACCTTCTACAAGCAAATAATAACAATTGTTCAAATGTCAAACAATCACGTTTAAAATGGCGCCAAAGTTAAAAATTGCGTTCTAGTTGGGACACCCGTTAGCTTTAGAAGCCCATGTTATAAATCAAATCAAAATTTTTATCTGTATTTCACACTTGACATTGCACTTTGACATTTAAACGCTCGAATAACATTACAATTTAGGCTTAACCACAATAAAAGTATTAAAAGCAGCGTTGGCTATCAAAGCTATTGTTTTACCATTTTTAATTAAATACCATAATGTTCAAAATTTAATACGTACCATGTCCAGCCAGAGCCTGTAAATTTAAATCACTCATTTTTAATACACTAGAAGTATATAATCATTGCACTCGATTGGTTAACAGTAACATTGAACAGCTACTGAATAATTAAACTTTTATCTCACTTTAATTTATTAATATATAAAACAAATCTATTTATCAACTTCATTAGAGACAAATATTTATACAATCATTTAAATAAACAGAAGATAATTTTGTTACACATATAAATATAGAAATTACGTTTCACTTAAAATTTATTTTATATTTGTTAATTTTCTAAGAATAGTATTACTTTTAATGTATAATTAAACAAATCGTTTAAAAAGCATTCATATCGAATGTCATGAAGGAGAAATGAGTGAATTAAATCATCGTTGGAGCATTTATCGTAATAATATATGATCGAACATGTGTACTAATGTGTTGTCAATATTATGGCCATAATTCAAATTATTTCAAAAGATAAAGATTAAGTTCGTACATATAATACACTGCGCCTCACTGGCTCCTAACATCTTTGTCGTCATCGATTGAATACTTTGTTATGGCGCTATAAAAACATGCTCAGATTTAAGATACAATAAATGTAGATACATTTGTCAGAATGTCACAAGCTGTCACTTAATTCTTTGCAAAAACACTTTGTATAACTTCTATTACAATTATGACGGTTCTAAAGATAAATTTGTTTTATTCTAATGTTTTTCCTTTTATTCAAACATTTCTAACAAGTAGTATTTTTTTTTAAATTTCAATGCAAAAATAATTTACTTACAATGAGATTATAATGTTCTTTATTAAAATTTAAATTGAATCGAAAATTTGCATCTCAAAAGGTTGAAACATATTACATAAATTGAAACGATTCTATAGTTTGAATCGCATTGTAAATGTTCGCAATAGTTTGTATCCATTAAGTGATGGGAAAGCAATTAGTTTTAACTTTGCCACTGTTTATTTTACACCAGCTGTTTGTACTTAATTAAATAATATTTCTCATTTGATCGAGAATACGTTAACCATTATGTTATTTCTTTTTGGTATTATGTGTAAAAGAACAATTTTAATTGGTTATACTTATACTATCTTCGATATAAAAAAATTATATATAGATTTTATTCATTATATGTGTACAAATTGAAATGTTAATTATAAAATATATTGCAATCAAAGGAAACTATAATGTTTTTAGCGTGCAGTACTATAAAGTATAAACAGTGGTAACATTTAGTTGATATTAGTCATTTGCTAATGGAACATTATGTGCGTCTGGGGTACACCTGAGTTTAAACGAGTTCTGACTTGGAAGTGCAGTGTCGGTTATGGGGTAACCATATAGATTTATTTAAAAGGATATCTAATTTTTTATAGATTTTTTTTTTATTGTAGCAATTGGATTCCTAACTAGTTTTCTATGGTAAAGTTATTGACATTACTACATGCGATGTTAATGAGGAGTTATTTAATTGCAAAATTGTATAGTTTTTGAAATAAATTTACAATTTGAAAAAATAAATTCGATGCAAAATAAAATTACATTGCATAAATTGAGTTGGAAATTTCATATCACTATAAAATTTTTAGCTTCTTCTACAATTTATCATGTAAAAATCCCTTCTCGGAATTTATATGAAGACAAATGTCCCCAGTAACCTGGATTAATGGTAACCCTATTCTAAGAACGGTCTGTGTCATAAATTGCAGCGGGTTAACAAAAACATGTTCCACACGAAGTAACGTGCTATTATCGGAACCAATGCTTGTCATCATTGAAATATGGTTTATACGAGGAAAAACGTACAATATACATCGAAACTTCTTAACACTATATAAATAACCGTATAAAACAGTCAACACACAAATTTGCCTAAAGTATTGTTGAATAAATAAAGAGGTAAGAGATCAAAAGATGTACCAGATTTTCCGAGAAACTTATCCCTCGCCTCAAGATAAAGTACATCGTAAGAATCTTCAAATAGAGCCATATATACCCTACGTGTCATTAACTTCACCTTGCAAAGATTGATCTCGTGAGTTCAAACCCATCCCAAAAAAGGGAAATTGGAAGATAAAAAAGACGCATCTAAATAGAGGGAATGTAGCCGTGAATTCAAGTACCATTTTTTGTTAACTTCAAAGGGTTAGCATGAAATTGGAACGCTTCTGAGGTGTAATTAAGGTTTTGGCATTTTTAATCTTTTATAAAAAGATTTAATTTTAATGAGAACAAAAGAATTACAAATTTTTAAAGGTCTTTTACAATTTTATTTCATTATAAATCAATCTTGTCTTTACTTTAGTCAAATATACAAATATATGTTGATTTTTGTCTCTAGAATCAATAGATTTTAATTAGTGATTGGGAGACCTTAGCTTATTTCTGGTTAGGCTTTATTAAATACGAATTAATATTGATATTTTGAAATCAATGGTGACAATTGTATGGACGATCCGTGCAAATTTTCTCTAAATTTAATGAAACTGTTATGCATGATCGAAACAATTATATCAATACCACTGTGAAATATGACATTAAATTATTATTATCACCATAACTCTCAGCATATATTAAGAGCCCTGCTAACTCTGCCAGGAAACCATCAGAATTCTGCATTGTGAATAAACAGTCGATCTATCTAGTATAAAGTCTAGCACAAATTAGAGTTTTTTTCTGTTACTATAATATTATTAATTTAAAACTATTTTTTTAGTTATGTATTATTATGTCTCGAATATTTATTTTATTATTACAATCAATTAATAAATTATAAAATTGGTTTCAGGTAATATATTTGATTTCAATTTGAATCAAATAGTTTTTTCTGCTTTAAGGAAGGTAAGACAAAAAATAAACAAAAAATAATTCAATCCCAATGAGAAAGTACTGTCGCAAAAAGTAAAATATTACCAAAGAAATGATTCAGAACTGCTTATATAAAAGAAGACTTAATAATTGTAATTGGTAAAAAATAAAGGAGGAAAATATTAAAAGCATCAATGTCTCTGGTATTTTTCATTCAAAATAACAAAATTTGTATAGTGAAATATTTAAAACTATCTTAAGTTATTTCTACAAAAAGTTAAGTTATTTCTTCATTATACCAAAAAATATTTTTAAACTTGGAAAAATAGATGGTGAGACAGTCTCTTATGTGCATAATACATGTCAACAATATATTTTGCTTTAGAGTAGTTTTTTATGGTTGGATTGGCTAATGATAATAAGTAATATAATCTAACTAAAGTGAAATTGCTCTACATGATCTGATATATTACTATTATAGAACTGAGATCGCATTAATATGAGGTGTTAACTCAGCAATAGTAATGGAATTAAAGCAGTATTCAATTTAATGAATATGTACAGGAGTTGCACCTATTTATTTGTAAATGGAAAGAAATAAGATCATTTTTACCGATTCATATATTAAAACATTTATATTATCATGCAAAGAAACATAAGTATTTATCATTTTGTAATACTAATTTTAAAAGAATTAAGAGAGAAAATTTCCAATGATTTTATACATCTATTTCTGTATCTTACTGTAATATTTTACTTAATTGCCTCGATTCCTCCAACTTCATTTGCATCTTGGGGATATGGACGAAAGTTTATTAATTTTCAAGTCTCTTAGTAACAAAATTGATACAATACTATTTAAATTCTCAAATAATTAAAGCGATGGTATTTACTTTAAATATTGACAAAAGTTTCAAAGAAATATAATTATTAAATAACCATTTAATTTCCCATTCGAATCAACTTGAGTTATTTCTATTTGCTCATTATTTTTTTGATAAATTCGGTTGAAAGACTGTGATCGGTGATATAAATCTGAGTATTTTATTTAATTTAATTTTTATCTGTAAAAAGTTTTCCGGATTTCTAGGAATAGTAATTCATTGCGGTTAGCCTGTGTTTATTTATGATAAATGTGAATACTTTAATTCTTCATGTGATCTGATTTCCGTCTACAGATATAAAAAGCAAATATACGACGACATAACCTTGTATTTTTCATAATCTGAATAATAAGTAATATATTTTCAATGGTTTAAATTTATTTTGACCCTTAAGGTATTTTCAAAAACATCTAACATAAATCCTACTAATATTAATTTTGTCTTACACAAAAAAAAAACAGAACTTATATAATATTTATAAAATTAATACCTAATTAACATTTAAGAAAATACACATCAGATACCAAAACTAGGTTTATTTATATTTTGTTGAACCATTAGAAACTTGGTTTTTAAAACTTTAATAACACACTTCCCGATACGGAATAACAGAAGCTAAATGTTACTTAAAAAGACATCGAATCGTTGCATAACAATAAGTAACTAAAATAAAACAGGCAACTCAAAGCAAAGCTCGAACAGAGTGAATGTTGTCAAGTAATTTGAAATTCAAATCCGCAATAAGGTTATATCCACGTTAAAATTCTAGGTAATTCTTCGTTTTCAATTCCATTTCAGAACAAACAGACCAGGTTTGGCAGACTACTTTTATACTACAAAAGATATGTAAATATATAGGTTGCTTAAACTGCATTTCGCCAGTCGGATATTATAATAGTTCACAGTTGCTATTTGTAATTGTGTAAGTAACTACTGAGAAACTATTACATAGCTTATGACATTAATTTTAAACTTTGACATTTAACATTATCTTCACCGATAAATCATTGAATGTGGTGTGCTATATTCAGCTGTTCTACATAGTTACAGCTTTTGGGGTTTATTATAAATTACATATATATGTTTTAAGGTTAATATAACTGTAATTACAATATAAAGTTTATTATACACTGTGGAATTTCTATCATGTTTAGATACTTTTAAGTATTTTTGTGTTAGAGTTATAATAAAATGGATACAGATACGGATGTTTGAATCTATTTGATTTTTTTTTAACAAAAATTTGTGCCAATTTTAATTATTCGTAGGACATAAAAAGTATTTATGTAAATTATATTACAATTATTTTGTTTTCATGTGTAAGTATAGTAATTTCTTTTATATCA